TGCCCTGCCTCGTAGGGGTCCAATGTTACCCCGAGACTTCTTCTTGTTACCTATATACTTGAAAAAGGACTTTTTGTTATCCTTAATCCCAGAAGCTAATCTAAGCTCTAGTGCTGCTTTAGCCTTCCTCACCAAATCCCTACAAGCTTGGGTCAGGGAGGTGTATTCCTTTGTCCCTGCCCCCTGCTTCCACTGCCAGTACGCCTTTTTCTTTGCCCCCAGGCCAGCCTGGATATCCACGCTCAGCCATGAAGGTTTCTTGGACCCTTTTCCCACCTTCCTGCGCAGAGGAATTGCATCCTGCTGCGCCCCAAGGATAGCCTCCTTGAGGAAGGACCACCTTTCCTGGAGAATAGTTAAAGCCACCTTATTAGCTACTTGATTCCTGCTAACCTCTTCACTCCATAGGTATTAACAACTCTTGATCTTCTCTTAACCTCTCTTTTCTTCTACAATTTTCCTGTCTGGAGGAGTCATGGTGGGAAGGAGGAAGAAGAGTTACATCCCTGCTCCAACCTGCCATGTGGTCATGTTTGGGAGAGCTTCCGGGAGGAATGGACTCCCAGTGGCCATGAAGAGCTGGATGGGGGTGGTGGGGTGTTACAGGCACCAAGGACCTTTTGTGGGGAATGGGAGCTGGTGGGGTAGAGGGATTTGGGCACTATGGGGGTGGGATATGTGAGGGGCACATGGGCTTTGGGGTTGAGGAGGGCAGTGTGAATGAAACAAGATGTGAAAGGGGGTTGGGAGCAAGAGGGATTGTGAGTGAAGGGGGCTGCAGTGAAATTTGGGTACTCAGAAGGGGAGTGGAGGGCTCAGTAAAGGTATTGGTCAGGGGTTGGGGGCTGGGATTTGATGGGAATGGGTCTGTGCAATGGATTCCTGGGGCAGGGAGGAAGCAGGGTAGGACTTAGTGGGGTGTAAGGGGATGGTGTGGTCTACTGGGGCTTGAGGCACAGTGAGTTGGGGCTGAGTATGCGGGGATATGTGGGGTAATGGGGGCAAAGTGGATTTAAGGGGACAGGGGCGGTAAGAGGGGCCATGGAGGACCCACATGCTGGCATACAAGTTATAGTTCTGTCCATGGCCAGGCTTGGGGTTCCCCTCCCCCTTTGGCCCCTGGCAGACTTCCCCACCCTGGAGCTAGCAGTCAGTCCTCACCTCCCAAACAGCTATATGCATTTTTGGTGAGATATTAAACTGAATAATATAGCCCTAATCCCCTAGTATATTAGTAGAGTTTCTAGTTTGTTTTTTTTAACTGGAGAAAAATATGTACCATATTATATATGAGGATGCACTTTTTCAAAATCCTAGATCCACCCATGGACCCAACCAGCCTGTGGAGACAGTATTCATTTTAGGGATGTTTCCAAAAGAAAACCAATGGAACTGTCAGACTTTTTAAAAAATACTACTTTTGACAAGTGTATTTCACATCAAAAATATCTGAGAGGCTTTTGTGGTAGCATTTGATAGTATACCATCACTCAAGTCTGTTGCATTTTCATGTCTTCACCACCACGGAATTCACCTTTGGCATAAACTGGCAGTTTAATATGATGCTTATCAAAGGGGAAACTGCAGCCCAGTACTCAGATAAGCAGATGTAAAGTCGATCTTTCTCTGAATTATTGGGTTGGTTTTTTTTATCAGTGAAGTTAAGAGTTTGTACTGAAAAAGTACAGATTCTTCTTTTTTTTCTTTTTTTTTTTAATTAAATTTTAAGTACTTGCAGAATTTCTCCATGGAGGAGAGCATAAAGAAAACAAGATGTGATGATGACTGCATATTGTACTGTTTTGTCTGACTGACATAACACAAAGCATCCCATGATTGGGTACTGATCAGCTCAGTGGCAAAAATCCATAGGCTTAATTGGTTCTCCTACTCTTCTGACTAGCTACTTTATCACCCATTTCAAAATTGCTTCTCTCCCTGCACTGTTTGATGAATAAACGTCTTGGGCATAAAAAATGTTTTGAACATAGAAAGTATGAAAAAAAAAATACAATGTGCAACTATATAAACATGACAACTTTGATACTTTACAATAGAGCAAACTAATAAACTCATGTAAGAAAATTTTGACACAGAAATGCATATAATTGAAACCATCTTCTTTTAATGCCATTCCGTGTCAAGTATTTAATCTCTCTGACCTCATTAGGTGTTCCTAGTCATTAGACACAGTGTTATTAAACAGTTTTAACTTTAAAGCTCTTCTGATTAATGATTAGTTCAACTGAGGTTTAACTGTGCAGGATTAACTAGATTTAAAAATGGCAAAATGCCATTGTAGCATTAATGCCAGACTTTAATGAGAAGCAGAAGTAAACCCCAAGGACCCTTATGATTTAATAAGGGACCACAGTCATGTTCTCATCTTAATTCCCTGTCAGATTTTAAGAATAACTATTTTCCTTATCAGCTAATGAAGACTATGCTGGATGGTCTAATACTCGAGAAGATAGTCTATGATTTTAAGATTAACTATATGTTGTATCATCCTAAATTGTTTCCTCCTGACCAGATCCTTTAAATAAATTTTATCATCAGACGGGGAAAACGTGTCATATCTTTTTGTTATGCTGGCCTGTTTTTACAAACCAGATGAAAGCAAAACAAGATTATGTGGAGAAACACTTCTTCACAGTGGAAGAACATGCTGCCTCTCTAATGAAGCCATGTTTTCCTTTCTTTTTTTTGTATTGCTGGTGTCACTATTTTTTATAAACTCAACTTTTTACATGAATTTTTGTGCTCTTAAAAGATGCTAAATGGGCAGATCTAGAGATTTAAATCAATACATTTTCCATGGACTATGTACAGCATTAAATGTTACCTCAGACAGAATTCAGAAGTTCCCCAAGGCCTTGATCCTTCAAAACCTTATGCACTTGCACGTTAGGCTCATGTGTAAGGCCCTGGTTCAAGAAAACATCCCTTTTCAAGGCAGCACTTAGGCATCTACTTAAACTTAGATAAAAGATGAACATAGATAAAAAGATGGAAAACCAGTACATTTTCATTTATCCAAGATAAACCAAAAAAGAGAGAAAGGATAGGGTTAACTGAAATATTTAGATCATTTCAAAATATTTGTTTGATTTCAATTTTATAACATTTATTTTTCTCTAAGTCAGCTGAGATTGAAAAAATGTTTTGTTTTCTGAACTGAGAAAATGAAAATGTATTTTAAAAAGTCAAAAGACGATATTTTAAGAATTTCATATTTTCATTATTTTGAATTAGGACATTTGCTGGAAGTTACCTATTCCTGAAGAGAGTCTTACTTTCAGGGATGCAACATTTTCCCGTGAAAAAGGTTTTGTCACAACATTCATGGTGGGATCAATTTATGATAGTGTTATATTGATATTTGTCTCCTGGCAACTGGACTGTGGGAATGAATTAGATCACAAGTCTTGTCTTTTTGTCCTTAGAGATTTTCGATATTTTAAAGCAGTATGTAGTATGGAGCTACAGTATTGGATGAAGAAATGTAACTGTGTTTTTGTTTCTTTACAGTAATATATTGTGCGTTTGCAAGTAAGGGAAAGTTAGGCATAATGTATTCATTAGCCATAATAGAAATTCTGAATTGAGGCCTCAATTCTGCCAAGTCTCTCAGGCACTTGCACAGCTTTTGCCTCCATTAGTAATTGCAGTGACATCAAGTTCTCTGTATAAGCATGCCTACTCAGACCAGCAAAGTTATGCATATGCTTTAGTGCTCAGCAGTCACAGACCATCTTTCCAGAAGCACAACAACAAAAATTTGTTTTTCTCATTACTGGCATTAGCAGGTAACTATCACATGAATGCTCCCAGTGCTCATTTCGAAAGCCCTCAAGTTGTCTGATCACCTTCTGAAATACTTTTTGCAGCACTTCAAAAGTACAAAATCATCCTTTCCTTGGCAATCGGTTCATGATTGGTTTTGTTTTGTTTTCCAATTAGGACGAAGGACAACAAAAATGAAGGACAAGAGAAAGAAGAAAAAGAATTTAATGGAAAGGGCTCAGAAGCAACATAGCATCTTTCTAGCTACAGACAGAACAAGCCAGTAAAGACTTAAGGGATTTTCTATATGTATTTTCTTTGCAAAGTGCACAAAAGCTGCTATATGCTCCTGCACGCAGATGCACTGTGGTTCAGCTGCTTTGACAGTATTGGTTGCAAATAACTTGTGAAAAATGTCCACAAGCTTGTTTGTGTTATTTATACTTTTTTTTGTTTTTGAACATGAAGGGCAGGAGCACACTGAGTTGAATCAGTGGAAGTGGTGCCGAAGTTTATCAAAGACTTTGAGTTCAGTGCCTCAGAGATGGAAATGGCCAATATGTCGACAAGGAACTGTAGCAGGAAAGACATCTACAAATCACCATTAAATAATGAACTTGTGCATATTTATAAACAAAAGAGGGGGTCTTGGAGGTGTAGGTACTATTGCATTTATGGCCTTTGTTTCTTGTATTTGTACATTTCAAGAGTAAAATGTATACAACTACCTGCTTAGTGTTAATGTGCATTGTTCATACCACCTGTTACATTCAACACTTGTATAATAAAGCTGCTATAAGATGATATATCACAGGAGTTACTGCTTAGTGTTCCAGGAGGACAGTTGACCCCATCTGTACATATTATTCTGTCTGCATACAAATAAACTTATTTACTGTAAATTAATGCTTGCTTTTTGTGTGAAACATTATTACATGTTTAAATGTATATGATATTGGTTTCAGTAATTCATAAACATAGTTCAGTATATGCTTTCTTCCTGTTTTAAAAGCTTCTACATGTTTATCAGCAGCTTCAGTTTTGTTTATAATGTCTAAAGCACTCTCAGATGAACTAGCATGCATTGATCTTCAGAACCGATAGCATCACATTTGGAATGTACATTCCTATATCTTTAATAAAACACAAGTCTTTTCATGTCTATCGTAATCTACCTTGACTCTGAACTGAAATATTGCTTCTGTTTCTCACAGAAAGAAATCTGACCTTTATGATGAACCAGGGCGATAGTGGATGCTCAGTGTTATCCACATTTAGAGATAAATGCATAACTCTCCTCATACCCTGAAAAGTAATATATCATCATCACTTCTTAAAACAATTACTTCAAAATCCTCGCCTCACTTGTTAGCAAAAGGGGCCTTTACTATAAGAGGTAAACCTCGCACTAAAAATTAGTCTTAAGGTGCAGTAGACATCAGTTCTTTTCCTGGCACTGCCAGGAAAAAATTAGGAATTTCAGCAAGTTTCATCCTTGCTTTAAATGTATTCTATTAATTCTTGCATACCCCATACAAAAGGAGAAATCACAGAAATCATACGGGATATTTTAGCAGTCTGGAATTGCTGGACCTGTATTCTAAGCAAAGACTTTCAAATGTCTGCTTGGAAGAGCAGACTAAAGTAGCTGTCTGCTGTCACTTGTGAATGTTTCCTCTGCCCCCCCAAAAAAAGAAAGAAAAAGAAAAGCTAAGACTTTTCCATCTACTACTTTAGGGTTTATTGTTGCTACAAGAGACATACAATGGTAAGTCATGTATGAATATATGAAATTAAACTTCTTATTGATTTTACTTTAATTCTGAAGTTCTCTAGTTCATTCTTCAGTATTGACCTACAGCCAAGTATATACTGTACCCCAGGGACAAGCAAAATACAGCCCACAGGCTGGATTCAGCCCTCCAGGCCATTCTGTCTTGCCCACGGGGCACCTAAAAAATTTAGAAAATTAATATTTATTTGCCCCAGCAGCCTGTCAAAGCTGACAAGAGACAGGGGCAGTAGGACCCAGGGGGAGCCTCAGCGGGACTGAACAGCCTAGCTCTGCTCACCCCCAGCCATTTCACTCCCTTCCTGCCTCTGCCCTGCTCCAGCACCACATGGCTGCTGGCTGCATCACTGGACTTGGAAGCACAGGGCCGAACTGGGGGAGAGAGAGAGAGAGAGAGAGAGTGA